TACAATTTATTTAGTCATATATTCCTTACCACCTTCAGATTTGGAGGCCTTTGTCGGACCATTTCTGTGACTTTCTGAAACTGACAATACAATATTCTCACCCACTTCACACTGTGATTGGCCAGCTATGAAGAAGTGTGAAAGTAAGCTGGGTTTGAACTCCTTTCCCAAGCTTACTTTTTTCATTTGTTACAGCTCTTTGTGGCACTTTCAGTGTGAAGAACAAAGTGAAACACTATGAATCTCTTCCAGGAATGTTGAGAGACCCATTAACGTCACCATCTTGGTTTTTGGAGCTAGAACTGACTATATTTAGAGTGCTAAGTTATCAAGTACCGCTAGCTAGCTAGCTTAGCAATGTGCATCCACAGACTGTATGGATACCTTAAAGATACCTGATTAGTGCGAGCTAAATAAATAAAACATTAGGATTTCACTCATCAAAACTGGAGCACAGACTTCTTCTTAACTGTCAGATAATTGTTCTAAAAACATGTAAAAGGCCCAAACAGCACAAACACAACAAAAGTCCAATTTAGTTAGCTGAGGTGACACATTGGCTGCATAATTGCTAGAAAATAAAAGCAAATACATTTTAAACTGGAAAATTTGAAAAAAATAAATAAAAAATCCATCCAGCTGTTGTGTTTTGCTCCATCCTGTAACATGTTTATTTGGACATTTTAACATGTCGTCTGTGAGGATTCAGTCACGTTTGGAGTCAGCCATTTGAGCTGCACTTTTTGGCACTTTGTGCTGGCTTCATTTTTTCAACTGCAGTGGTTGCTGCTTGCCACCATCCCACTAATGCCTGTTATTTCAATCTGCCTGCGAGCTTGCCTGAACAACTAAAACAGGTTTTTATTGCAACAAGATTGACAGAAAGCAAATAACTGTTTCTCTCAAGAAGTCAAACTATAATTTTAAAATCTTCATGTCTGCCAGTTTTACTTTAGCAAACATGCTGTAATCAAGACAGAGAGTCAGTTGTTTTGATGTGTCCTCCTACCTGTGCCTGTTGCTGCCTGCACGTAGGGATTGATCATCTAACCTGGTTGTTTGTGCTCTTTGGTGCAGCTGCGCTTTCATTCAGTTTTTTTGAGATAACTCCCTTTGACATGTGCATGCTTATTTCTGGAGACATGTTAATCCCCTTCCTTCCTTTCGTCCAACCTCCTCCTGCTCGCTTTCTGACTTGGCGTATCACTCTCTCACTGTGGTTGTTTGTAATGAGGGTTTGGTAAGGGCCTTGTCCTTGACTGACTGTCTGTGGGAGGGAGCATCTGGAGTGTATCAAGAAAGGGTGGAGATGGGTGGATGAGTGGACAAAAGACAAAACACAAGCTGACCGCTGCTCAAAACGCTTGCAGGCACTGTGGGAATTTTTTGTGTGTGTGTGTGTGCATGAGTGTGTTTCTGTAACGTGTTGTTACCTGTGAGCTCGCTGACTATGTCTTCTCTGCTGGTGCATTCACTTTGGTGTTAAGGCATAATTTACACTCGGATCCCTCTAGTAGGCATTAATATTTACAGCAAATTTCTTTTCAGAGTGAGTCAGGAGGGGCTCCACTGCCTTGCAAAATTTGGCGTTAAAGTAGCATACATCTGCTGTCAAAGAGGCGTGACATGAACAACGGCACTACACTTAGCACTGGAGAGTGTCGGTGTATGCATGGCTGCACAGAGAGGAAAAGTGTTGGACTCAGAGAAATGGATGGAGAGAGCAGAGAGGGTCACTCAGCTGAAGTGAGCACTCCAGTGGCGGAGGGGACATTCATGAACTAATGCAGGTCACCTCTATAACAAGGCAGAAGAGCATTTACACCCACACCGTGGACAGAAAGAGAGGGGGAAAGAGCAAAAGAAACACATTCATATGCGCAAACACAATCCCGCCAGCCTCTCCTTCCATAATGATGCTTTGTCTACTATATTGTCTCCCCCTTTTCTCTCTCTGAGTATCAAACCACTTTCCACACAAACAGCAGAGCTGCCATCAGTAACGGAGAAGAGTGTTTCTCTTTATCTGACAGACCCTACTGTCACATTTTGGATGAATAATATCCACATGCAAAGAGGAGGAGGATACAAGGGACAAGGGACAAAATGGAGGTAGAGTTATCGAGCAGAGCGAGTAAAAAAAATCAGAGTGGAACAGGAGGACGTAAGAGGCCAGCGTGCATTAACGCAGCACTCAGGCTCAGATTGCAGACTCAGCACTTCGTCAAACTGTCAGGGACAAACTTCGAGCATCTCAGCCATCGGATGGACCAATAACGGAGATGCTGTAGTGCTCTGCGCACATGGAGTGGGCTGTCTGAGAGTTAAATAAAGGGGCTTTTACTGCCAAGTGGACCTGCCAGTAAATGTCCCTCTCTTTTGTTCATGGTTGTCTCACGCACACACAAACAGACGCGCACCAGAGCCACGGTGCCCAAGCTCCAACTAATCTTTGAAAGGTGTGCATAACACACCACTTCAATGCTAATCTTAGGATGTCATGGTGAATTATTCAACATGCTAATGTCACGCAACGAGACATGCATGAAGCACTTTGAACGCTCCTCCATGTAATCTTCATGTACAGGTTTATCCCGGGAAGAAAGAGCGGAGGCGATGTAAGGACCTCTGTCCCCAAGGCCCAGCGACAAGAAACTAAATAGTAGAGGCATAAATATTAATGTCAAAAATAGTTTGCTCCGTGTTATTTATGCATGACTGTGCCCTGAAGCAGAAGGTTAATTGAATTTGGAATGACACTTTTGCAGCATTTGTGTCTGTTGCTTATCTGATATAAATCAAATGGTGCTTAATGAGGTCACATATAACATGTTAGTCAATCTGACAAACTGAAGCTTATTTTTTACAGGGCCAAGAAACTAATCAATAATGAGTTTGCATGCCATCACGCACAGCTGGAATTGTACACCGTTTCCAGCTAGAGTCAAACAAAGCATGAAAGGTGTCTCACTGGTGGATACTGTCAAAATTCGGAGGTTTAAGCATCCCTGGCTTGGTGAGTTTAGCTTTCTTCCTTTAGCTGATTTTATCCCAATTGCCTCCAAAATTCCACTAGCCAAGCTTCCCAGACGTGCGCGGCACTAAAAACTGTTTATTCTGATGCCTGTGGCTGCATATAATCCTTAGCTGTCACAGTCTATTTGTATTCTCTTCTTGATACAATTCATATCACTCCAAATCCTGGAGCACTTCCATGGAAAAATGTGTGAATTTACTAAGAGTGACATAAAGACCAGCCAGTGGGTGAAAACGGATAGACAGGCTGAGGGGTTTGGAAAGGGGGGAAAAAGAGAGGAGGGAAAGGAAGGCTTGAAGCACAGATTTGCGGGGTGTCCATCTGTGACTATAATCCGAAAAAATCTGTTTACAGAGCAGTCAGAGAACAGTAGGGGTGGGGTCGATTCATGTCATGAGCCACAAATAATATAGTTTTCTTATTATTTGTTTTATTTATTGGGGCATGCGGCAGGATTGAGTGTGCTCACGGTGCCACTGGGTACTTCTGTGTTTGACTGGCAGAAGGAGAGAGACACAATGTATCTATTGGTGTTTTGGTGGACCGGGGAACCTTTTCAAATGCCCGTGTGCGAGTGCTGATTATGTAGATAATATTTTTCCGCCACCCTTTGTCTGGTTGTCAGCGAGAGAGGCAGGAAAAAAGAGAGGCCCCTTTTCTCTGGTGAATTATTGTGTGACACGCAATGGAAGCAAAAACATAAAAATTGTATAACGACAATGAGAAGAATTATTTATTTGTAAACAGAGGCGAATGCCGCCGGCCTCCCACAATGTCTTGTGTGTATACGTGTCTACAGCCCTTTAGTTGATTAGCGTTGTGCTTGATGCAATCAGGCACTGAGCGTTTTCCTCCATTACCTCCATCTGTGCAAGCATCCAAATCTGAAGTCTGATGTTTTTGGTACCTCTGCGTACACGACAAACTTTGGCCCGCGTTCAGTCGGTGGCTCTTGAACAGCACCGAGCGCAGACTGTGCCAGACTGAAGGAGCGGCAGCCACCACGGTTTTGGAATGCTAATGGAAAATTCAAGGGCTTCAGTTTTTGTGTGGGAAGCTGCCATGTGTCAGCACGCAACACTCAGCATTAAAGTCACTTTGCATGTGTGTGTCTCTGTGTGTAATTTCTTTGCCAGCTTGCTTTTTGAAGCACTTAAAGCAAATTATGGGAAAACACACTCCAGCATAAAACTCATATGCTATTCTTGTGCTTTCGCTCTTGATCAGGGTTAATGAGCAAAACCTGCAACAAAAGAGGAACACAGAACATATTAACCCCCCCGAAACATGACGAAGGTTCCCTTTGGGACAAGCTATGAAAAGCATCAGCACGGCAAGTTTCAACAAATCGTGACAGTAACTGTTATGGCCTTTTAAAGTTGGGAAATTTGACCTTTAATCTCAGTGCCCCATCAGGTCAATCAGTTTAATTTTTCAAACACCAGAATAGTGTGCCAGAGTGCATCATCACTTTATAGCAGTCATTAAATTTGACAGATGCACACAGCTGGAGCTCTCCTGGATTTTATTGGATGTGGTGGGAGAAAAATCAAAGAAAATGGGACTAATGGTTCCAACAACTTGTGGTATTTTACAAAAGGAAAAAAAGGATTAATTATACAACCGCCTTCAAAAGGGATACTCTGCAAAGTGCTTTTCTGCTTCAGTTTCACTGGAGCAAATCCGTGTTTTATATGTTTTTATGGCCTCACAGCCTCACACACTATTTGGTTTTCAGTCCTTCAGAGAATATCTCATGATTACAAATTCTGTTTAACAGTCACTTTGCTTTTATAGCACCGACTCCGTTTCTCAGTTAAATTCTTGAGCTGAAATCAAAGTTTAAACTGAAAGCTCGCACACACGTCTGCCTGTTTTCTTTGCGTTAAAATGAAAGCATACGCAACTGTTTCCTGTCTGTTTTTTCTAACCTTTTCTTTGTCTCTGCTTCTTCGTCCCACAGTGATGCTGCTGGACACAACAGAGTCTACCTCAGAGCTGGGCTGGATCACCTATCCAGATACGGGGGTAAGCAGGGAGCTGAGTGTCAATGCGTTTTCCAGCTGTTGCAGCATTAAAGCCATCTGCAGAATGTGTTATACACGTGTCGCACATGCTGATGTTTGAAGTGTCGGGTTATAATCGCATTGTTAGTCGGGCCTTGTGCTGTAATGCTAATGAGGGCTTAAAACAGGATGCTATGAAATAATACATTTAGTTTTATAACGTTTTTCATCATTCTGTCAGGCAGCTGGTGGTAAAGTTTAGACATTAAATCGATAATGGTGATAAATGGTACAGGACTGCAACTGATATTCGTTTTAATACTGATCGATTTGCTGTTTACACTCTGGATTTATTGCTCGGCACATGCGGGTTAGAAAATAATGGAAAGCCAAGGATGTTCATTGAACAACAAGAAAATCTTGATTGATTTTCAAAATTCATTAGATGCCAGTCACTAAACTCAGATAAAAGTCTTTTGGGTGAGGTTGAACAGATTGAAGATATTGGAAATGTCAGATCTGTAGACATGTCGTGGTTTTGTTTTGTCTGTGTTGTGTTTTGGTTTGTTACGCTGGCTGGTTTTGTGGTTCTTCCAGTTTCTCTGGTCTCTGTCATCACATATTAATGTTACCTTTCATGTCTCAGTGTTAGCCACTTATCGTTCATTTCTTTCTGTTGTGCCTCGAAGGTGAGTTTTCTCCAGAGTCTTGCTCTAGTTTTACTTCCTTTTCCGTTCATGCCTTTGGGCTTTTATTCCCCAACCTCACCATGCATCCACCGTGGATTGTTTCCACCTGTGTCCTTCTATCACCTGTGCCTTGTTATTCAGTATATTAGGTTTGAGCTACTGTACATTCAGTTAATAAAACACTTTAAGACCAGAACAACAAACATATGCAGACGACTGCCTTCATGAATGATCAGTTTGTTTGGTTATCAACATCTGTTGATGAATGTAATCCACTCCCCACCATCTTTTCACTTTCACACATAAAAATCAAGCATGGATGGGGCTTTCTGGGACTTTTTGAATAGTGGAGAGATTAGAGTGACTGAGATGTGCAGCAGGCCTCCACAACAGCACTTGGAGTTTACAGAAGTCGCAGATCAAAGATTATTAAGAATTAGGTTATAAATGCTTTATGTTTAGTTATGGCTTGAGGTAAGGATTATTATCTTCCTGAATGGCTGGCATATGTCACTGGTAATACCTCAAGTGCGCTGAACACAGTCTTAGACGGGGCAGGAACTCACCTTTCCTTTAAGATAACCTTGAAGGTCTAAATGCTCCCCCAATTCTTTTTATCTGTTGTTCTACTCCACTGTGTGTGTGTGTGTGTGTGTGTGTGTGTGTGTGTGTGTGTGAGTGTGTGCGTGTGAGTGTGTGTGTGTGTGTGGGTGGTCATTCATAATTAAACTTCTCAGATTGAGCCGTAGATCTCCCATCTCCCTTTTGAGTTGATTTGTATTCAAGGTTCTTGCTTTGCCTTGAGCTGTGTAAATATATGTGTGTGTGTGTATGGAGGTTTGGGGGAGGAAGGAGGAGGTCACTTGCGTGACTGTGCGAGGGTCAACTCCTGGGGGCCAATCCGATTGTTAAATTCATTCATTTCTTTGTGATTGCATCTCAGTTCTAATACGGCTCGTAGTTACACCCTTCCTACTGAAACACTACATTGATGCATCTATTCGACTCCATTTGAAATGGACATCACCTGTTCAACCACAACAGGCTGAATGCTAAACATTTATTTGTTACTTTTGGCAAAAAAACCAAAAAAAAACAAAACTGAGTTGACTCTTGTGACCAGCTATTGTCAGGATGGAGTCTAATAGCTACTAACCAACATCTGGCAGGAATACATTACCACCCTCGCCTGGCCTCCAGTGTCAGAGCATAATTGTACATGATGTTTGAATAATTAGGGCCTCATGTGTGTTAGGAACTTGTGAACCATGATGGCAGCTGCTAATAGGAGAGCATCCAATTGTGTTTGAGTGTGCGTGTGTGTGTGCATGAGCAAGTCAAGCATTTGCATGAGTTTTTTTCCCTTCATAGTCCCTGGATGAGAAGTGCTTCTGAGATGGAGATATGGTTATTTGACCCGGGGCATCAAGCTGAGAGAAGTAGAAAGACAGACCAAGAAAGGGGGATAGAGCGAGAGAGGTTGTGTGTGTGTCTTTGTGTGTGTGTGTGTGTTTTCTTTTTTAACCCCTTCCACACACCCCATCTCTTCTTTTGCTTTAGGGTCTGTGGATATTCTTTAATGTGTTTTCTCTCTTCCTGCGCTTTCTTTCTTTCTTTCTTTCCCATTTTTACAATGTACTGACAAGCATCTTCATCTCTGCCTGTTTTTCCTCCCTCTTTTAATTTTTTCTCCCTTTGCCCTTCACAGCCACAGAGCCACTGGGTCTTTGCCTCATTTTTTTTCTTTTTATCCCCCAAGTCAGTCTCCACTCTGGCCCTTATTTTTCTTCAGTGTCAAACCAGCAGAGACTTCCAGTCTCACTGCAGACTTTCCTTTTTATTTTTTTCCACCCTCCTGTTATTTTCACTCCCCGCTCTTCGTTTTTGTGTATAAATATGCGCATGTGCCTTTCTCTGCTTGCGTGTATCTGTGTCTGTGTGTCCACGGTTGTGTCCGAGGCCCTGCCCCTCCCTGTCCTCTGTCACTGCAGAGGTTGCGTGGCTCTCTGGCATTTCGGTTCAAATTAAATCACAAAGATGAGTCGTCCCTATAACGATTCATCCGCCCCCTATCCCCAATCTGGCCCGTTTTTTTTCCTCCTCTTTTTCTTTCTTCCTTTATAAGAGAGGAAGAAAACAAGATGTGGAAAAATAGGGAAGGGGGCAGGAGACAAAGGGGGAGTGAGGTGGGGGTGTAGGGTCAGAAAACAAATGAAAGCTGTGTTTTTTTCACAAAGGTACAGAAGCGAGCTGCACGCGATGCCACACACGAACAACGGCGGCTTCTCTTTCCACCTAAAAGTCCCTGCCTGGCCACATACTCAGCATAGCTTTTACCGCACCCACCGCCGCGTGTCACAAAAAATGCTCATACACTCTTTCTGTTTGCTATTTTTCCCACATTTCTCCCTCTACCATCCGCATCCCTGCATCCCACCATGAGCTCGGTGTGATCCCCCTCTTTCGTCCGTTTTCCCTCATACACTGGTCTGACACGGTGAACCAAAGCCTGAGAGAGAGAAAACTGCCCTTTCACTCCATTAGACTGACAGCGACTCCGGCTCTTTCTATCTCTTCACTGATCTTATCATTATTTCAGCTGGACCAAATATGAATGCACTTTCTCATGGTGCGATGCTCAGTAGATTTCTGTTCACACTGGCTGTCAGAGCCACACAGAGAAAGAGACATGAGCATGCAGAGATACACTAACATGCACAAACAGTGATTCACACACTCTAAATACACCCTGATAGGGTGTCAGGACCTTTTGTCCTCTTGCCATTGTCATAGGGAGAATAATGATGATGAGGCCTAATATATAATTCCTCTGTGTTACAACAGAAAAGACCCTGCTTGTCACTCAGGGCTACACAGGCTTAAAGCAGATCCTTTTCATCCTTCAACGCAACGCACTGTATAATTGGTGAAACTAAACCCTGCGGCTACATTAACATTTTGTCTCATCTTACAAAGTCTCATCCAGAGCCTTGTCTCCGGGCTGCTCCATTTTCTCCATGTGCGACTCTCTTTTACTCACATCCATTTGCGCATCTACCGTGGATTCATCTTCCCCTAAAAATGCAACAAAATCTGCTGATTTTATTGCACAACAGCTGCCCTAAGTCAGGCACACAAGTGTCTGCCACCTGTCACATGTGAACAATGGCGCACATGCAAATGCCAAAACTAGTGCAAGAGAAAAAAAACAAGCACATGTCACTGTATAATACGCATTAATTGTTATTATAATACAGCATTATACTACTGTAACATATTAAAATTGCAAAGTGCCAGCATCGCCCGTGAACTTCTTTCTTTCTTTCCTTTAGATATGTCAAGGCATGAAAAAAAAGTTTATCTCTTTCAGATGTGTCTCTGATAATTCGGCCTCCACCTCGGAGCAACAGCTGCAAATAGAATTTATTTTTCATCTGAGCGTCGAAGAAATTCTAGCATCAATATGTCTTTTCACAGGCGTCCTTGTTGCTCTGTATTTTGTACTTTGTACTAAGGAAATGGTCCACTGACATTATCTTCTGTTGATTAACAAATATAATCAGTGCAGACTTTTTGAAACCGTACATTGATTATCCTTTTTTTTAACATGAAGGATGACGGTCATCGCTTCAGTCCAATATCTCAACAAAGTTTGGGTGAATGAAAGTACAGAAATCCAGACTCCCCAAAACTTCACAGCTGAAATGACTGGTTAATGCTGCAGTCACACCAGGGAAAACAGTGGCTGAAGACCAGAAGTACAACAACTGTGACGATAAAATTATGACCTTAATACCTTTGGTTGCTTTGAAGATGGGGACCAAGTCATCTTCAGAGTGACTTTGGTGTGTCAAGAAGGTGATTAAAAAAGGTCTGCTATCAGTTTGCAACAGAATGGAGTCAAGTTGGCAGTTACATGCAGTTTGTTTGTGATATGACATCGATGAACTGTGACTTGTCTTGTCTACATACACAAGTCGAGTCAGAAGCTCACAGATCTGAAACAGAAATTTAGAAATTCCTCCACAAACAGAGACGCAGATGCTGCAAAACTGCAAAATCACACTTTGCACACTTGCTTTGATATAGGAATGTAACCAGAATGCAACTGGTGCAGTCTAACCCGGACTGAATGCAACATGTTGGGAATCTGTCTGCGTTTATAAATTAGGTCAGAATTACTTCCAAACCTTCGCCGATCTGAGAGTGAATGTAGTCAGTCCAAGTCCTGACCATGAGTGTTTGGAGACAGGTTCATTACATGCATTAATTATTATCACATTTGATAAACCTTACTATAATGATCATATATAATGAGCATATATATGTCTGCATCTATCCTCAATAGGTGGACCAATCTGATCTTCACATACAATCCCAGTTCTTGTATATATTATGTTTATTTCAGCAACTTTAAGCATGTTTAGTTTTCACTCATGAGGACAAGACTATAACATTTAAATTTGTTGCAAGAATCCGTAATGCAATTTTCATCAATAAAAACTATGTAGATCCCTTGTTGTCAGGTCACAATCAGGTTCTGCAACATTTAAAACCATGCATACAGCACAATTTCCAAAAATACTTCAGTGTAGAGACATTAAAAATGCAAAAAAAACCAAACAAAAAATCATTAAAAAGACAGTGCAGTTGAATATGTCAGTTAATGATAGCTTTTCTGTGTAATGTCATCATGCTACCATGCTAGAATAAGTACCAAATAATAGCTAGCTAGTATGCCAATGTAAGCATTTAGGTAAAAGTGCTGCTGTGCATCAGTCTTGTTAAATGTCACTTTTAAGCACCACAAACAGGCAAAAATCACCAAAACACTAAAGTCTCAAAGGCTTCACCACAGAGAGAGCTGAACCGTCCCTGTTAACACAGTTTTGTCTTCAACACCTGAAACATGTTGCTCTAAATGAAAGGCTGGAGCTGTTTAATTAAATTACTGTTCTTTTAATCATTGATTAAGTAATTAGAGAGCCTACTCTGCAGCACTATAGAGACGACCTAGATCAGTGAGGACAGGGAACAAAAGCTTTTCCTGTGATATTACAGCAAAAAAACAAAACAAAAAAACAACTGCTCTATCAGACTTATCTCAAGTAGCCTCCATAGAGAACACCCAGTGAAGGACAAGGCTGATGTCAGCAACAGCAGCAATATGTTCAATATTTACCTTGTAAAATGTAAACCGCCTTCTAAGTCATGAGTAAGATTCATGGCTGTGGAAAAGTCATAAACATACCGGCGTTTTAACAGTTTATACAGGCCTATTCTGGAGCCCTGTGCTTATAGTTTTATTTCTGTTTTGCTGAGGTCAGTTTACACAAGCTCATAATATTGTTTCTGTCTTCCAGTGGGATGAGGTCAGCGTCCTGGATGACCGAGGGAAGCTCATACGAACCTTTGAAGTCTGCAATGTCAACCAAAATCCCCGTCAGCAAGACAACTGGTTGGCTACTCCTTTCCTGTACCGCCACTCGGCTCCACGGGTGTTCGTCACGTTGCGTTTTTCTGTGCGAGACTGCGCGAGCCTGCGTTCACCGTCGCCCGCCTGCAGGGAGACACTCACTCTATACTACAAGCAGGCCGACTCCCAGAGGGAGCTGGAGAGGACTTGGGTAGCTGAGGTAAGGTGACACACTGGATGAGCTGCGATAATGCATTTGATTCTAAAGATGATGTATTATACTGTTGTTAATTTTCTGTCAAATAGTTTTACAGTGGTGGCTACTCATATTAAACATGGGCAGCTTCAATCATATGGGAGCCAAAAGCTCAGCTTCAGGCTGCTCTGAGTGTTTAGCTTCAGGAAGTTTTTACTAGAAGTTGGCAGATCGAGCCAAATGTCCCTGGATTGATACTCGCGTGAAAGCATCGGTACTTCGTTTCTTTCCCATGAGTTCAGTATGTAGCACACTGTGTGTTGTGTTAAATAAATTATTTATTTATACATGCACTATGAAAAAAGTATGAACATTTTTTTTTTGTGTTGACTGTCACATTTATTTATAGCCTATAGCACATTTAAACAACAGAAATTCACCCGAGGCGCTTTAGAGATGGGCACATTTTCATCTCAGGTCTTCAAAAAAACTGAGTTTCAAAATACATGAAAACCTCAAAGGTGCATTTTCTTGTGTTAACTCTTTGAAAATCACAGTGGTCTTTAAAATATTCAGAATTTGCAAATTGATGATGTTTCATTTTATAAATCATGAGACACTCCTCTTCCCTAAATATCCTGCGTTTATAGCTTAAAAGTGTCCTTACTGGTATTTGTTTTGGCAGTGCTGGTCTTAGTTTAATTGTGAGGGCTAGCCAATCAGAAGAAAGTTGGCTTAAACTGATTGTTTCAGACAGAGGATGGACTGATAGGCTGCACTAAGATCCAGGATATGATAAATATCATTATTTTGAAATGTGAACAATGCAAAGCTACATTATCAGAGTCCAAGAATAATAATCTGGAGTTGGAAAAGGGCCCTTAAAGTGTTTGTGGTTAGCACCAGAACTTAGCAAAAGAAAAGTTCTAAAAGAAAAGCTAATCTGATGGCTAAATTCAAAGCATGTGCACCACATGGGCTAAAATGTCCTTAGCCACACATGTTTGACTTCTAGCTAGCTGGTAGGACTGCATGTCATGTCACGGCTGTCTCCTGGTGTGTTTCCTGTCTGTCTCTACTGCACGCGGCTCAGAAATAACAAAAAGATGAAGAAAGGTTTCTCCTCTGATGGGCATGTTTTGAAATTTTGTTGCCTAAGCTTGTGCCACTCGTGCATTAGCCTAAATTCAGGTCACAGGGCTTAACATCCTCACAAGCCCAACAATTAATTTGGCAGCAAACACTCACCCAGTTCTGGCAGTATTTCTAGAAACACTCTTCTAACATCTGGATATAAACAAACTCATCTGATCTTGGAAAAAAAAAGAAACTAGCAGCAACCCAAGCGATGGACTCTAACCTAGACATTTTTAATAAAACTAATCTTCGATTGAAAATAATCCACCTGTAAGTAATGTTTAAAAAAAAAGCCAAATTATAGTGTTAAATAAATTACATATGTAGTATTAAACAGACTAAATGTGGCAACTGTAACAACAGTGAGTATTTATTGAGGCTTTTGTGTTTTATGACTGGTAATTAAAGATTTCAGGTTGGGGTTTGATGGTCACATGAAAAAGAAAGTTTTCACGTGACTCTGTGTAGTCCTGTAGAAACAGTGCACCCAGAAGACGTAAGAGTTGCAGCAAGGCTGCAAGTCAAATGTATTTGATTAATTGCTCAACAACAAGTGCGAGCAGCTCAATAAAAACAGATGTTTTGGCAGTTTACTGCTCTAGAGCATTCAGGTGTGTGCTAAGATAACGTCGCAATCTTCTCAGGAGTGGATGTTCCAGCAAGTTCGAGGTCAGACCATGCAATGCTCATCTCTGAATCTACAGGCCTCAGCTAGTTAAAGTTCATTACATTTGATCAAGAAAAAGACAGAATACTGGCTTGTTTAGAAGGATTGCCAGGAGAAAAGGCTCTTGTCTAAGCTCGGCTCAGGTCTGCAAAGTTACATGTGAATAAACCACAAGACTTCTGTCTTGTCACATCCTTTGAATAGGGCAGCTGTCAAGCATGGTGGAGGAGGGGTGATGATTTGGGCTTGTTTTATGGCCAAAAGGCCTGGGTACCTTGCGGTCATTAAGTCGAACATTAATTTCTTTGTATAGCAAATAGTTTGAGAATCAAATGTAAGACAGATGTAGCTTAGCCCAAACTGTGTTATGCGGCAGAACAGAGATCTCAAGCACAGCAGCAAATCTACAACAGAATGGCTGAAAGTGAAAAGAATCAAAGTGTCGTAATGGCCAAGTCAAAGTCCAGGTCTGAAATGCTGTGGAGGGACCTGAACAGAGCTGCCTGCAAATCTTAATAAACTGAAGTAATGTTGTAAAGAATAATGGGGCAAAATTCCTCCACAATCATGAGCGAGACGGAAAACAGTTACCTGTTAGCACGGTGGCACAGTGGTTAGCACTGTTTAGGTGTGAATGCGGGAGTGAATGTGAGCACGAATGGTTGTCTGTCTCTGCGTGTTAGCCCTGCGACAGACTGGTGACCTGTCCAGGGTGTACCCCGCCTCTCGCCCTATGACAGCTGGGATAGGCTCCAGCGCCCCCCGTGGAAGTGAATGGATGGATAGATGGATGTTTTTCACTGACTCCATCAGTGTTGTTTATTCTAACTTTATTCTTTTGCATATTTCATCCAGATGAAATATACATTGATACATTAGATAGAAACTATCAAGACTTTTACGTTACATTCAACAAACATACTGTATCTCTAAATAAGTAAACCACATATAATAGACTAACAATGACAGATTAGGACGATAAACAGCCTGTTAAGTCTTCCTAATCACAGATTTCCCACTTGAAACTCTTTCACCACTTTATCTAGTTTTTACTCTAGCACTTAGCAGTTTTATACAAATGTAATAGTGGGTTTACAAAGCTTGTTGCAAGGCAGTCACGTCACAGTTTGCGTGCACTAATCCTAACATGCTGGGCTGCAGACTGCACTGAGATATCCTGTTGTTTGTTTTGGTTTTGTTTTGCTGCTCAGCATCCTCCAAGAACTACACAAACACATAAACTGGAAATATAAAAAGTTGAGTAACTAATCTCTAATTGAGTCTCATATGGCCACAGTTGATTTGAACAAGTGTTAAATCCTGACTTTTTGTCACCGCTTGCTGCAAGGCCACCTGCAGACGGAGTCATTAAACTCGAGCTGTGTTGGTGATTGATTGTTATTCCCCTAATGCTCCATCAAAACAGTGAATCCTATCATGTCCCATGGTACTGAGCAATTGCATAATCACTGATTGGTGAAGAAAAAGTGACACCATCCTCAGACTACACTGGTGCGAAGCACAATCTAGTGTCACTGTGGTCTCCATAAATGTCACTTCAGCCCCACTAATTACATCCTTAACACATACAATGAACGTTTTCTACGGAGTGCGGAAAAATCTCTGAACCCCATGTGTTGTCAGTGAAGACTGACACTTCCCATATGATTTATTTATTTATTTAAGCACTTAGCGTTGTTGGTGTTGTTTAATTTAGTGCTTTTCCTCTGCTGCTTTTCGAACTACTGAGTCTGTGAATTGCCTGAACTACATCAGGAGACATCAGTGGGAGGGATTCTCTGTTTGTATAGATGAATGCGTTTCTCCTTGGGGAAGTCAAATGCTTTTTAAAAATGCAAATCAAAGCCTGATGAGGAATCAGAGGAGGGCTTTAGAAGAGCAGGAAGCAGTGCAGAGATGAAAGTCTTTGCAGGGACTTCAGCACGAATCCCCACTGGGACCTGCACAGATCTTAAGTCAGTGATTACACTGCATACTAAACTACTTCATAGTATTCATATGCCTGCAACTAAAAAAGCACGATCTGAGCTTATCTTTAATCTTACCATGTGTTTCCAGACCATATTTATATGTAAACCAGTGCCTCCATAATTTCCCCCTTGTTTACTTGATGTCAGCCACACTCTCTTTAAGCTATTTTGTTTCCTCCTGACCAATAATTATCCTTTTTTTCTTGGTCTCCTGTCTAATTTGTGTTTTCTCCAGCCATCGAGCGGGGAGAGGGAGACCAGGGAGGGCTGGGTAAAGATTGACACCATCGCAGCCGATAAGAGTTTTTCCAAGGTGGAGCCCAGCTCACCTCACCAGTATCAGCCCAACAGATACAGCCGTATCAACATTAAGACACGCAGCTTTGCTCCCCTCACACGCAAAGGGTAATCATTTCTGTACGACACTTTGTTTCTCACGATTTAAAAGCATCACTAAACCTTATGAATGCTCTCTGACCCCCTTCTTCTTAGATTTGTCTTGGCCATCGTCGACAGCGGAGCTTGCGTTTCCCTCATGGGGGTGTCTATCTTCTACCGCCGCTGTCCAGCCACGAGCCTCTACCTAGCTTTGTATCCACCGACTCCCTCGGGTGCCGAGCCAACTGCTTTAGTGCCTGTGACTGGGACGTGTGTCCCTCACAGTAAGGCACAAGGAGACACGCCCCCTCGCATGCACTGCAATGCTGAAGGAGAGTGGATGGTGCCCGTCGGTGGATGCGTCTGTGATGAAGGTTATGAGCCGAACCTCAATGGATCTGCCTGTCTGGGTGAGTCCGGTGGACACTGTTCAGGTTGACGGACACTAAAGGAATCAATGCTTCTTTGATGCAAAGCTTAGACATATGCTTTTATAAATGTCACAGAGCTGTGAGAGACAGATTTTAAAAAAGGTCAAAATCGCAGATATTCTTTTATTTTTTCATATATTCTCTTAGTTGCTTGAATGGGACAAACATGATCTATTAAAGTAATCGTGTGGTGTTTCGGGTAATGCGCTTATTCAAAGCTGGCTGCCTGGCAGGACTCCAGGAGGTCACTGTGGCTGGTGAAGAAAAAATCTTGCTCGAAACATCTGATAAACCCACAAACTGCTGTTGCAATGCTTTGGTTCTAAACAACCTGAGCATTAATTTGTGAGTTTTAGAGGTAATGATAGATGCAAAGAGCAAAAATTGTCGCCGTATAAAACTTAAGCTCCAGGCTTGATTTCCTGCCAGCTCTCCTTTCTTTTTCTGTCTTTTTTTGTGGTATTTGTTGAGATAAGCATCTGGATCAATACTGAATGGAGCTGCTGTCACCCCGATACTCTGCTGTGCTTGATGTAGAGACCAGAAGGAGATGAGGGCAGACAGGTCAGGTCAGGATAAGATGAGACGAAGAAGGACGAGACAATCCAAGCAATGCATCTGGAGGGATTTAACAACTGCATCAGGACTTTTAAGGACAAATACAGAGAAACTGTTAAATCAGAGGTGCTATATTGACTGTTTACTCTTCCAGTGACTTTCAGTGGAGAGGCAGAGAGACAAAGGAGAGGCAGGCCGATAATACTGAGGTCAGCATTTGCAAAACTGGTCAAAAAGTGTTGCGCTTTTAAAAGTGGGTGTAAATAGTAGGGGCAAGAAGTGGGGAAAAATTTGATAGATGTCCAGACGGACACGAAGGGATGCAGGGAGAGAGCAAGAGGAGGGAGAGAGGGAGAGAGTCATAGAGAGAGGGCTGTGACACATTTAGGTCATAGCGATGTAATGGCCACTCGTCTGTGAACAAGTGACAGAAACCGCAGGGGGAGAGAGAGAGTGGAGGGAAAATAGGGAGACGTGGAAGGAGAATGAAAGATAGGAGGATGCAAGTTAATGACTTTAAAGAACTGAGCAGGCAAAAAAGTACCGAGGGCGTGACGGCAGGGCTGTGCGACTGTCTTTGTGCGAATGTGTGAGTACACACAAGCGTATCTCGCCGGGACGCCGATGCTCACCCCGTCCACATACGTCTGAGGATTACAGTCAAAAAACTGTATTCTCACAGGAATTTCAACGACTGTAATTCCTCAAGTCTAACTAATGGCAGCGCAATTAATCCTCCAATCCTGCCAAGTCAGCTGTGAAATGTGTTCATGCTCTTTTTGCTTTACATCTGCACCCGACCTGCCACTTGCGTTTGTCTCTGTTTGATTGATAACTACTGACAAATCACTCCTCGAAGCTGCTCGGCTGCCGGAGCGAAGACTTTTCCAGTGACTGTCTCTGAATGATCAAACACGTTGCGGCTTTCTTTCTTTCCTTTCTTTTTTTTAATGATTATGTTTTGTTGGTCACTTCACTGACTAATGATGTGGATTGGCATCATTGCATTGTTGTCCTCTCTGCCTCCCTGGGAACGTCGAGAAAAGAGGCAGATGGTTAACTGCCAACGCAGCCGTCAACGATTATTAACAGTAGCCGATCCTTGTTCTCTTTGGAAACTGGAGCATGAACTTCCTTAACTCTAACAACTTATACATTTTGTTCTTGTTTAAATTAAACATCAAGGCTGTTTAATAGTAACGCAAAGTGAGCAAATTATCAGCTGTGCTGCACTGAATTATTGGTTTGAAGCTGTATGTTTTTTTTATGCTGCTGGCACTTTAAATACAGGGAAAAAGCACTTTAAGAAATTGACTGACACTAATTTCCACTGCCTTCAAGTGTCCAGTCTTAACTAATATGCCCATGCATGTCATTAAATGCATTTCATTTTAATTTTCACAAAAATTTGCATTACACTTGCTATTTAAACTCCTACAATGTAAATGAATGCTGTTGGAAATCCACCTGACAACCACACATTCAGGCTTGTCGCCTCAAGCAAGACATCGTTTTTAGGGGCACGTAGGAGATTATCAGATCCCACCTCTCAGTCTCATGGGAAAATTACGATCGGTGTTAAATGATTGCCTTTAACTACATGCAGCACTAATAGCTTTTTATTTTTAGATCCAAGGCAAGATCATGCATTCCTTTATTTGCAAAACCAGATTAATATGGCAAGGACGTAAGTTTCTTAAGTGTGGTCCATATGCATTTGCACTGCATGGCTTCATGGATGTTCATTTTTTGAAAGATTTGATAACACTATTAAATGGATTGCTAAAAAATTTGCACACACCTGACTAAATAGTGGGTATTTTTTTTTCAAATGAGAGGACAAAAGAAAACGAAAGAATAGTTTTTAAAACTCCTTTAAAAGTTTTTTTGGTATAGATATAGTTTTGTACAGTGCCACTAGTCACTCATATGAGGTGCAATCAAAAAAGTTAGAGGCTGGGCCTGTAGGCAGAAACTATAAAAAAAAAATATGCCTCCTATCTGCTTCAAGGTTGTAATCTTGTGCAGCAAAATATGTTTTGATTGGAAGACCTGTTCTGGCCACTTACAGGTGTGCAATCGCTGCACACACTGGATCTTGACCACTGTGTCAAAAAAAGCACTTCAAGTCAAATTTCATTGTGGAAAAAGGGGAAGAGCTTGTAGGGAGCCACAGCCTTTGAATAGGGCAGATGATGAATACTGGTCTTGGCTGATTTCAGTCCTGATGTGCTTTCTTTGCGCTGCAGACTGCAGCTTTTTCTAAAAGTCTCTGTTTATAACTGCATCTCTCATTCCTGGTGATGATCCTTTAAAAGAAGGTCAGGTCAGTTTGACTGTGAAGTTGATGGTGCAGCTTGAGATCTGTCACAGATGCATATGTTTAAGTGGTCAGAAGGAGACTTTGAAGGAGATGGCAACCATAACTTTTAGTCGCATATGGTTTTTTCTTTGTTATAGAGCCAGTTACATACATTTTTAATCACATCTCTTAGTGAGAAACTGACTGAAAAAGTAGGTTTATTTGTTATTAATAAGAGCTGCATCTTGTGATGTTCTCCCAAAGTCAGATCTATTGTGAAACCATTTGTCATTGCCATGGGTTTAAAATAAATCCCTGGTGAGAGACACTCACCACAGGCATCATAGTTCAGTCGGTTTACTGCGGGCATGATGCTTGATTATTCTGTTTTTTCAGGCTCACCAAAACAACACTCCGACATTTGGACCGATGATAAATTGAGTATCCAACTGAAAAATCAGACACTTAAAAAAACACAGCCGGCCCTTTGGCAGACAAACATTAAAAGATCATCCCTTGATTATTTATGAGCTTGTTTATCACAAGTAAGTCTACAAGAACACCCAAGTTCTATATGATCACTAAAATATTCAGAAGTCAGTTCGGGATAAAAACTCTTCTGGAGTCTTTTATAAAACGATAAGAACAGAGGCAGACGTCACGCAGCAGCTGCCTGCTGTTATTTTATTTTTCTGCCAGGCAGCATCAGGACGTTTTTCTCCTTTGACATTTGCATCCCACAAGGGAGACAGAGACGTAGAGAGGACAGGCAGAAACATGACCGAGCATAAGCCACAGTTACACCTGTTCAGCCAAACATGAAACAGTTCTGTAGTTTGAGGCAGCTTGAGTTGGTCCCTGCTGGATGTGCATCATCCTCAGATACACGCCTTCTGCTTGAGTCCCCTTAAGCGACTGTTGATGGTTTAGGACAAAGATTATTGTGGCGGATGCTCAGATGGAGCTTTGAGCTTACTTGAAGCCATGTTGATATTTTATGTGGCGTGAGACTACGTCCTGAAATATTCAACATGTCAGTTTGTCCTGATTTTTTGCCCAGAGCCCTTACTCTCAGCACAGACACATCCACCAACTACCCCGAGGCAGGTTGTGGTGAGAAACAAGAACATTTGGCTAGGGGAGGACGTACGAGTGCAAGTGTGACATTATTTTGAGTCTGCTTTAGTCCCAAACAGACACTCTTCACCAAATAACAAAGTAGATAATCGTCTCATAGAATATACCGACTACATTTTCCCAGTTGCAGTTGTGTCCCCTTCTTCATCAAGCCGTCAGTAAGCCTACTCATCAGCAGCGCTGGAATTCAATTGATTTTCCAGTCTATTAGTAAAGGTCAAGTACTGAGAGAAACACAGTTGAGTGAAATGATCAATGACGTACTGTATCGACTGGGCTGTAGGGTGTTGACATGCAGCGGTGATAAATCAGCTTGAACACATACACATCATATCAAATCAATCGCTACATGAGTCAAAACTCTTTATGATGGTGTTCATTATATTTCACAGGGCAGTTCGGTGGAGAAATTACAATCATTTTTTTAAACATTCATGTGAAATGGGGATGCCGGGCTCTCAAAAACTGTCACGTGAATCCGCACATCCTCCAGCTTTATGAAATGTTATCACAGCAAATTTCAGAGTTCAGTTCATTGCCACTTCTCCTTTTTCAGTAAAAAAGCCACTGTACACTTTCTGCTTGGCACCAAACAGGCATGTAGACACACTTAGGGGCAGTCTGGCAAACCTATTGGAGCATTTAGCAGCTAAAAAGCCTGGAAAAGGCCTCCTGGGAAATGGTTAAAAAAACAGCAAAAACAGAGCAGAAGAGACAGAAACATGACTGCAAATTGCTAAATGTGGATAGTAATAACTAAAAAAAATGTTTTTAAAGAAATAAAATGATCCCTGTTAAGTCAGAAACGGTGCTGAGCTGTCGTGATTATTAGGCTGAGAGCTCAAATCTTACAGGGGCAGATGCAGGCCCAGGGAAGAGGAAACAAGACGTCAGCACGCTGAAAATTTAATGTGTGAAGGTCTTAGGTAAATATCACAGCTCCAGCAGCTCCAGCAGCTCCAACAGCTCCACCTACAATTAG